TACAGGAGCGCCCCAGCTACTCAGCTGAGACCCGAGCGACAGCCTGGAACCAGGAGGACGCCTTCCCAATAGATACGCTGCTCGGACTCAAGGCATAGCCACTTACGCTGACACAACTTGAGTAAGTGTTCGAGATAAGCAGTCTATGTTCCAAGCCACTACTTACGATTGAAGCTGAGTCTGTCTCCAAGTCCTTATTGAGTAAGAACCTTAAGAAACCCACTGGATGCACCCTGCTCGGTCACATCCGATGGATTCGGCAGACGATGGAGAGGTATCGCGCGTAGTGTAGAGTTGTGTGATGCACTTGATATGACGGCCGGTGGGCATGCCAAGGGCTGTCTTGATCGTGAATTATTCCTACATCTCATGGCGGGTAGTCAGTCATTCAAGTATGAAGTAAAGCGATACGCCTGAGCCTGGCCCACGGAGGGCCGACGGTTGAGGCGCGCAGGCCTACGTGGTCACATGTTTGTTTCTGCCCAGCCACGGGGTTCTCATATTTTCGCGCTGTCCGGTCCCACTCTGGAGCCCCAGCCTGACCACGGGCTTTCCAGTTCTTCTTTCAGGCATCCGGTGTCTGAGCGATTTTTCGGACACCATGTGTTTGACATCCATCTTTATCTTGGGGTAATGAGGTTGCCCGTGGTACGGCCGCTCTTAGTACACTCGTTTATATACGTAATGTAGTTTCGCGCGGCCCATCGCTCGGCTTTTCCCGGCCCGACTTTCTTGGACGCCCGAAATGGGCACGGCAAGAATGGGCAAAATGCCCAACAACAAATGTTGCCCCGAACCAGCAGCGGCCGCTGTTGGGCGGGCGGCCTTCTGTCTCAAATGGACACAGGCCGCGGCTGCGTGGACAGCGAATCCTCTTCAAAATTGACAGGAACTGCTGTTGGGCATTGTACCCATTCTTTCCGTACCCATCTCGTTCGTGCCGAATTGTGAAGAAAGGTAAACGGCGAGCTCGCGAGCGACCCGCCCGCGTCTGCCGCCGCCACTGCCGCTCAAGCGGCCGCCCGCTGAAAACATGATGTTTTTCTATGTTACCGGACAGTCTCTGCGTATGATCAACGGAACAAATCTTTCCATTGCGCCATCCTCTATCCCATACATTATTTCTTCTCTACCTTCTCATGCCCGCGGTATGGATACGATATGGAACAGTGACACGCGCCTGGGACGAAGCACATGGTTCGGCTTCCCATATCCCTTTCGACACAAACCCCACTCATCCCCGGCAGCGGCGTCGTCACCCGCTGGACGGGGGGGGCCAGGGCCCGATGGCAGGCCGACGGGGACCAGCCAGCAGCCTGGGGACGGACGGACGGCGCGGGCCGACGTGACCTCCTGTGCTTGGACGGTGGGCCCGCAGTATTCCCTTCGAGTTGCCGCAGCCCGGCCACGCAGCAGCTCGAGGCGGTCATGGCCTCCGTGGCCGCAGCGAAGGCTGGCGCAAGCCGAACCGCAAGCTCGGCCAGGGCCTCCAGGGGCTACCATTCCTGCAGTTCAGCATTGCTTGGGGCGCATCCGGATGCCAGCCCCCGCGGCCCTTTTCCAGGAATGGGGCAGTCTTCCGAGTGCGCTTCGGACGCCCAGCAGTGCACGCCATTTCCCCCGCAGGATGCCGCGTCCTGCTGGGATGCGCAACGCGCCCGCTTGCGGGCCGCCGGCGCCTTCGGTCCCCCTTGCGTGTTTTCCGCCAACTGGATCCCGCCAGGCTCAGGGTTGACAGCATTCACGGCCCGATGGGCAGCGCCATCTGCAAGGGCCTTCAGCTTCTTTATTTTCTTCTGCGCATCCTTCCCCGCGGGCTGGAATGCATCGCGTTGCGGGTTGCTGTCCACAGTGCCTTCCGCCGGCTCGAAGCGTTCAAGGATGTCATAGTGGTTCTTTCTTTGGAGACGAAAAGGGGCGCGCGCCGAAATCCATTCCAGACGAAATTGAGGTTTTTCTTAGAGTTTCAGTGTGCAGGCGCGCCCTGCCGCGCGGTGGTTCCCAGACGCACCTTAGAGCGTGCTGACGTATAATGCGAGGCATTCACATTGCACGTTGCGCATGCTATCGCGTGCAAATCACGCATGGCTTGAGCTACTTCGCAGACGCTTTCTGGCGAGGCCCTTCGAGGGCCCTCTCAGGGCCCGCCGGGGTCGCCGAGTGCCGCGAGCTTCCGGCAGCCATTGTCGACAGTTGGCCAAAGCAACGTCGCCGAAATGGTCGCCGAAAGAGCCGTCGAAAGGGCCGCCGAGATTGCCGCCGAAGGAGCCGCCGAAAGAGCCATCGGAAGGGTCGCCAGAATTGCCGCCGAAATTGCCGCCGAAATTGCCGCCGAAATCGCCGCCGAAATTGCCGCCGAAATTGCCGCCGAAATTGCCGCCGAAATTGCCGCCGAAATTCCAGATGGTTCCGCCGAGAAAAGACCGAATTTGACCTTGGCTGTGACTCTATGCCTGTGTCTGCGGCGTCATCGCGCTTACTGGAACAGCGATTTCGCTTGCGACGGGGCAATGAAAATTTCGGCGGCTGAATTTCGGCGGCGATTTCGGCGGCTGAATTCCGGCGGCTATTTTGGCGGAGTTCGCAATTATTTCGGCAGCAATTTCGGCGGCAATTTCGGCGGCAAGTTCGGCGGCAAGTTCGGCGGCAATTTCGGCGGCAATTTCGGCGGCGATTTCGGCGGCAATTTCGGCGGCAATTTCGGCGGCGATTTCGGCGACGATTTCGGCGGCCCTTTCGGCGGCCCTCCTGGTGGCCCTTTCAAGGACCATTTCGGCGGTTTTGCTCTTGACAGCTGTCGACGAATGCTGCTGGGAGCTCGTGGCGCTCAGCTTCGGTAAAGAGTCGATGTGCGGCGACGCAGACTGACCTGACCTCAGCCCGACGATGATTGTAACATTTGTTATCTTGTGGTTTTGGCGGTGATGATGGCGACGGCCGCGGTAATGTTTGGTTCAACATGGATGCTCGTCAGGGGGCAGTACAGGCTGGCCTACGCGCCCAGCGCTGCATGCTTTCAAACCAGAAAAAATTGTCGCGCAACTCCTTCGGAATTCGGCGGCTATTTTTGGGGCCGTGGTGGCTCCAAAGGGTTGTCCTCGGTGAAAGGATGGTCTTCTCCGATTTGTCCTCGTCCGTCTCCTGGAGCCGCGGGTTTCTGGTCTCTGTCGAGTCGAGGTGCGGTAAATGCGGCACATCGCCGAGCGACTTCACGAACGCCGCCTTCAGGACGTCCTGCTCGTGTTCCGACTGGCCGTCCTCCATCAAATATCAAATGCCTCACCTCGTCGATGTAGTGTTTCTTGACTCCGCGCGCTTCGGAGCCGCCACCAGGTCCGCCGAGACCATGCGCAGCCTCCAGGGAGGAGGATCCCGGCGTGGCGAGGCTTGCTTCGCCGCCGCCGTCGGTGTTGCATTCGGCTTGCACTTCTGGTCCTGCTGCTTCGCGGCCTTCTTCGCCTCCACACAGGCCTCTTCTTGCAGAAGTTTTTGGTGAGCGGCTTGTTCTTCTTGGGCAGGTCCGCTTCCAGCTGCCGCTGTTTTGCCTTCTTCGGCACCGCCCCCGGCTTGCATACCGCCACCCAGCACATCGGCTTGGCCCTCGACCACGCTGCAGGATCGCAGCCCCGTGCTCTCATGGCCCATGGCGCTTGCGGCTTCGTCTGCGGCCTTTTCTTGTGTTTTTGGGCATGCGATTCCTGCTGCACCATCCGCCTTGCCGTCGGTTCTTTCCCATTCCACACCTGTCACGGTATTCCACTCCTCCCTGACCGCTCGCCGCGACTGTGCTGGGACCTCTGGGGGGCCGGCCGGCAGCTGGTCCAGCAGGCGCTCCGCCAGGGACACGGCGCATGCGTCCACCTCGACGCTTCTGGTGCGCACACGAATCCACAGCCGGGGATCAGCCGCATCCCAGCCGCCGCGCGCCCCCCGCGCGGTGGTCGCTTGACGGTCTCTTGGGCCGCCTGGCAATTTGGAGGAGGAGGAGGAGGAGGAGGAGGAGGAGGAGGAGGGGCCTTTGGGAGGCTTGTTGGGAGGGTTCTTGGGGCCTCTGTGGGGCCATTTGGCGCGTCTTGGGGGCATCTTGGATCATCTTGGAACCAGCAGAATGTGTCAATCTTCTAATTTGGGAGGGCTGGTGGGGACCCTCCAAGCCAACAATACTTTGCCACAGCGGGCTGCCTCTGATAATTATTTGGGGGCCTACCTAGCGGCTTCGCGAGAATGGAGGTTACAGAATTGGAGAGTGTTGGGGCTATGGCCCGAGGGTGAGTTCATCGTACACCCTCTCAAGCAGGGGCCTATCCGTGCTTTCATACGTAAGAAGCTTCGGCCCCAGCCAGCGGCACCCATACCGTACACAACGCAGGCCGTGTGCCGTGCCCCCCTCATCGTCACACATGAATCAGGCCTTCAGGGGGGTGAGCTTGAGAAGGGATGACCCCAAATTTCACAGCGATGGCCAGAGGGGCCGGCGATCTCCGATGCGGGGGTCCCTGCTGTACCGTCACTTGCCGAGGGAGCGTTCGCTATCAGCAGGCGAGCACGAGCACGGGACGCGGCGATGGCATCCGTAGCCATTCGGGCCCAAGCTGGGCCGATTCGCCCCTACGTGAGGCCTCTCCGTGGGCGCGTGCAGCGGCAGCGATGCAGCTCCACTTACGTAGTGCCCATCCAGTGGCCACCCCGACGCGAGCGCGGCCAACCGTCGCCCCGCGAGCAGCGAGCAGCCTGGAGGCGGCGTCGTGGCCCGGCGCACGGCAGGCCTGGCGGCGGTCGCCTTGGCTGGGGGCCTCGGCGGTCGGCGCAGCGGCCGCTTCGTCTGGCGCGCAGCAGCACAGGAGGATCCATCACAAAAACAGATACACGGACATCCTGCAGTGGATTGTTCCTAGGCTCATGGGAAGGGCGGCCAGCGACTTTATATGCCGCCACCCTCCCTCAAGGTACACGCAAAATTCGTCGGCGGGTGTCTGTGTATATATTTTCGTGGCGTAGAGGAAGCAGCACCGCCGAGCGGTTTTGGCTGTGGGTGGGGGCAACGCGGACGAAGCGGACCAGTGGTTCCTCCAGCAGCTGGAGCGGTCTTCGTGCGGAAACATATCCGTATCTGCGGCCTTGCGGGCAGGGCCCCTGGGTCGTGACCTGGCGGATGCGGGGCCCTTTTGCGCGGATGCCCCGCGCGGGACGTAGTCGTTCGACCGCGTTTCCGCGGAATCTCGCCCCAGAATCCAGACCGCGAGGGCGCGGATATGGCTACGTTCACCGCTCGTGAGGTCTGGAGGGCGCCAGAAGTTCGACCCGGACCTGTCTGAGCGCGGGGTGTCTTGCCTCATGGAGGCCGCCTCGCCGACGCGACGCCAGGAGGCCTGGAGGTACACCGACGTGCAGGCCCTCCTGTATTCCGAGCCCACTTCCGAGCCCACTCCAGCGCTGGCGCTGCCTCAGGATGTGCAGCGGGCCGTCGTGGCCGAGCTGCTGGAGACGAAGGAGGAGGACGAGGCACTCCTGCGCCTGGTGTTCCTGGACGGGAAACTCTCCGCGGAGCACTCCAGCCAGGAGCACACTTGTGCGGATGTGTTTATGGGTGGCTCCGAGGCTCTTGTCTTGCAGCACGCCGACTTGCGGGCCAGGGTGGCAGAGCTCTTGCGCGCGCTGCCAGAAGTGGATACGTTTGTCCCCGAAGCCACGCGCGATGCCCTAGGCTGTGCCAAGATGGCAGCCTTGAACCAAGCGCTGTTCGAGGACTGCGCCTGGCTTCACTGCCCTGGAACCGACATGCCCTGCGAGTCTGGCGCCCCATTGCGAGTAGAGGTGGTATTTATCACAAGTGGGTCGTCGCACGGGTGCTGCTCACCACGTGTGGTGATCGATGCTGGCACGAATCGAAGGCTTCTCGTGGTTGAGTCACACTTGAGTTTAGATTCAGCTGGCACAGCGGCCGACGCCTCCTTGTCCAACGCGGTGTGCAGGGTGGTCGTCGGCGAGGGTGCAGAGGTAAAGCACGTCTTGTTGCAGCAGAAAGCGGAGACCGCGCGCCTGGTGGAGTCCATCACAGCGGAGGTGTTCGCCAGAGGCAGTTACAGCCTATGCATGTTGCAGACCGGCGCCCGCTCGGCACGCGTGAACGTGGCAGTCGCGCTGTTGGGCGAATCGGCCACGTGCGAGCTGAACGGGGTTATGGTTGCAGATCAAGCGCAGCAGCTGGATCTGCACTCTCTCATCCACCACAGCGTGCCATCGTGCTCGAGCAGCCAGAAGCAGAAGAACATCGTGGCTGATGGCGCCGAGTGCATCTTCAAAGGCGCCATTCGCGTGGATAAAGAGGCTCAACGAACGACGAGCGACCAGATCTGCCGCTCCCTGTTGGTCACGAAGAAGGCCAAGGTGAAGGCAATGCCTTGCCTCCAGATTCGGGCTGATGACGTAGCCTGCAGCCACGGCGCTGCGGTGGCTAAGCTCGATGAGAGCGAGGTGTTCTACCTAATGTCCAGGGGACTTGACAGGCGCGCTGCTCAGAAGCTGTTGCTGGTCGCCTTCCCGCAGGACCTTGTCGGAGGACTCGTGAAGGTGGCGCCCAGGGCCTTCCAGCGTATGCTGGACAAGCTCGGGACAATCGCATCCTCGGCAAATGCCGAAAAGTGATGGGTAAGTTTGCGACGGTATCTGGTGCCAAGGAGGATACGGAGCCCTGGCTTTGAGAAGTACAGTGCTGGTGCAGCCCCGTATCGGATCCGTATCGGCGTGACGTCATTTCCATTTGCAATCGCGTTGCGAACGAAGTACATTGTTCCACGCTTACATTCCTGTGGCTCCACTATTTCTCTCCGTGGCTTGGGGGCTCCGTCTGCGCCTGCAAGCGTCGACGCGCTTGTGCGAAAGAACTTTGCGCCGCAGCCAGTTGCAGCATAACAGCCTGGCATCAGCTCTCTCCGTCCGCCCCTCCGCCACTCTCCCCATTCCCTGCCGCTCTCCTTGGCTCTCCCCCCCGTGGGTCCCCCCTCTATCCCGTCCCGCCTCCCTCTCCCTCGTTCCCTCCAGAGGCCCAGGCTCTGAAGAGCTGCCGACCGTGCTCAGATTTTTCTCGGGTAGAACGCCTGTGGTTCTGAGGGGGTCTGGGGATCCATCAGATTTTGATCGGGGGCATCGACAGAACATCTCAACCACACTCCAGAAAAACAATAACGAAATATAGCCATTCTACATTCAGGCGACAACCGGGAAAACGGTCCTGGTCCTGGACCCCGTGGATTCCCCCAGCACGTGTCCTTCATTCCGAGGCGTCTCTGACGGCATGGGAGCCTTGGGAGGGTTTGAGGAAGCCGGGAACGGTGAAACACCTCAGATTTTCTTTCACCTCAGGCCCTCTCTCTTGTTTAATAATGAGATCTCAGCGACTTCACCTGTCGATTGCGCGGACACGCGCGCAAATTGCCCGCGTAAAGTCGCGCGTGAGCGTTGAGGAACCATTGAAGAAGGAATCCAGCGTCTGGACGCCCATGGAACTCCAGGTGAGGCTCAGCCCATGGATATCACCGTTGCCCCACTTCGTCGTGTCATGGGCTTCGCTCTCGATATGAGGTTCCCAGCGGCGAAGACTTCGACCGTGCCGTGCCTCGCGCCCCGAGGTTGGAGCTCGTTAGGCCGCTGTGACCCCGCCGCGGCGGGCCCTTCGAGTCGTCGACCATTCTGGCTGGCCCAGAAGAATGCCTGAGGTCCTGGGGCTGCGGACTACGGTCAGGAGCTTGGGCTTGGCGTGTCGCGGCGCCCGTTCCACGTCCCCCGGCCCCGAGTGGCGCCGTCCCCAGCTGTTCACGATATCCCGCCCCGCGGAGCGGAACAAGCACGCTACCCGCTTGCAGAACACGGCGCGTCGCCAAGGCCGCCGCCGCGACACGCTGAGCAAACGTTCCCGAGTGTTTCGGGATGCTGCAGTACTGCGAAGGCCTTACGGCCGGTGCCGCCGACCCTGAGAACGATGAAGACGAAAACGAGGGGGGTCAGGGGGAGGATGATGAGAGGGAGGTGGAGGAAGGGTGGAGGAGGTGGATGAGGGAGGAGGGGGGAGAAGGATGTGGAGGAGAAGCAAGAAGAGGAGAAGGAGGCAGAGGAGAGCGGGAGGAGGGGGAGCAGAGGGGGGGGAGGAGGAGAAGGAGGAGGAGGAGGAGGAGGAGGAAGAGGAGGAGGAGGCCAGAGGCTTTCTTGAGACAGCCTGGTGCTCTCTTGAGGCCGTCTTGGGCCGTCCAGGGCTCCTCTTGCGCCGTCTCGAGGCACTCTTGGAGGCCTCCTGGGCAATTTGGGGCTCTCCTGGGCTGTCTTGGGGCAATATTTGAGGCTTCTTGGGCCATCTTGAGCTGACGGAAGCCCGAAGCGAACATCTTTCAATAGCTTAAGGAGGTTGCTGATTTTTGTCTTTTCGGGTACTCCAGAGGGTCCTGTTGGAGCTCTCTTGGGCTCTCTTGGGCCATCTTGGCGGTCTTGATGGCCTTCCTGGGCCGTCTTGGATTCCTCCGAAGGCCCTCGTGGGCTAGCTTGGGGCTCTTTTGGTGCGGTCCTGGGCCATCTAAGGCCCCTCTTGCACCGTCTTGATGCCGTCTTGGAGGCCTCTTGGGTCATTTCGGTGTTTTTTTGGTGCCGGTTTCGAGCAATATTGGAGGCTTCTAGGGCCGTCTTGAGCAGACGGATGTTCGCAGCGAGAATCGTTTGAAAATTGTTTAGGCAGTCGGTGAGTTTTGCTTATTCGGGCCTTCTGGAGGATCCTTTTGGAGCTCTCTTGGGCGGTTTTGATGGCTTCTTGGGCCGCCTTCAGGTCATCTTGGGCCGTCGTGCCGTCTTGGAGCCATCGCTCTTTTGGGGCCATCGTGTCCCTCTTGGAGACTCTTTGGCCGGCTTAGCTGCCATCTGGCAGGTCTTGTGGCCGTCTCGGGGCCCTCTCGGGCTGTCTTGGGGCCATCGTGGAGGCGTCTTGGGCGCTCCTGGGGCGATATCGGGGGCTTCTTGAGCCGTCTCGGGCCGTCTGCAGGCCAACACGGAGCGAATCTCGAGAAGCATTGGAAAACATACAGAAAATCTATGTGTTTCGTTTCTTCGGGCCTCCCAGGAGATGTCCTTGGAAGCTTTTTCGGCCGTCTGGGAAGACTCTGGCGTGAGTAAGAGTCCTGAGGAATGGGTGCTGGGGTGTGTGTTCGAACGCTCTCGTGGGCCGCTGGGGGGCAGTGTGGGCCCTCTTCGAGGCTTGAGGGCCTTGGGGCTGGGGGCGTTGTGGCCCGTAATAGGGGCCCTCGTGGACCGTTTTAGGACTCTGTTGGAGGCTTCTTGGGGCGTCTCAGGGCGATCTTGGGGGCCTGTGGGGTTGTCTGGGAGCTTCGGGGAGCGAAAGGAACGAGAACGCAAGAATCTGTGGAAAATGGACGAGAATCGACGGATTTTGCTTGTTTGGGCCTTCGTGGGATTGCGCCTGGTGGCATTTCGCGCCGTTTTGCAGGCCTATGGGGTCGTCCAGAGGCTGTGAAGGCGTCTTGCACAGATCGTTCGGCGATTCAACGTTTTCTTGAACTGTCTTGAAGGCGTCTCGGGTCAATCTTCGCTTGTCCAGAGGCCTTTTGAAGCTTCAGGACCCATCCTTGAAGAGGAACGACGACGGCGGCGGCGGCGGTAGCGACGACGACGCTGATGTGGGTTGAGTCCTCAGGGGTGCTTGTTGGGGTCTCTTCCGAGCATTCTCGAAGGCCTCTGGGAGGCAGTTTGGGGGCCCTTTGGGAGCCTCTTTGGGCCTTTTGGGGCTTCTTCGGGGTCTCTTTTGGTGGCCTTTTGGGGCTGAGGGCTCGAAATGTCCGTTCGGGTCCCCCGTCTGGGCACTCTCCTGGAGCCGTCTTGGGGGCCGTCTTGGAGGCGTCTTGGGCCGTCTTGGAGCCCTCTTCGGCCGTCAGGGGACTCTTTGGGGGGCCTCTTGGGCCGTCTCGGGGCGATCTTGGGGGCCTTTTGAGCCGTCTTGGCGCGTCGGGAAGCGGAAGAGGCAAGAACGCCACAATCTTTCAAAAACGTATGGGAAGTCCATGATTTTTGCCTCTTGGGGCTCTCGTGGGAAAGCCCCTGGAGGCTTCTTGGGGTGCTTTGCAGGCCTCTTGGGCCGCCTGGAGGCCGTCAAGGCGTCTTGGACAGATCGTTCGGCGATTCGGGGTTCTCTTGGACTGTCTGTGGGGCCTCTTGGGGCACTCTTGGCCCGTCTTGTGGCTTTTTTGGGCTCCGGGACTCTCAGGGGGGGCGTCGTATTTGACCCCCCCCCCAGGACCCCCCCGGGACCCCCCCCCCCGGCGGGGAAGGGATTGAAGGGAAGGGGCTTCCCTTCAACTCAATTACGACGTTGCTCAACTTCGCGTTGGCTGGCGCGCTGAGGAGGTCCCTGGGGAAGGGGGGGAGCTTCGACGGGCCCAGGGGCCCAGGGAAAGGGGGGGGCAGGGAAAGGGGGCGGCAGAGCCGACGACCAACGAATGACGGAGATGACGACTTGAACGGACAGGCCTCTCACATACGCCTCCTGGGTCGGCGGATGTGTCACGTCCTGGGAGCTCAGGGGGAACGTCAGCGCCCGCGGCTGGCCCCTGCACCTCGGTGCCCGACCCCCCCCCCCCCGCTTCCCAGCCCCCAGCGAGGCCGGGGGGGCGGCTGGATTCGCCGACCGCCAGCTTCGCCTGCGGCAGGATTCGTCCGCGGCGGGTTTCGCCCGCGGCTGGCTTCGCCCGCGGCTGGTTTCGCCAGCCCGCCCGGCTGGCTTCGCGAAGCCAGCCGCCGGCGAAGCCGGCCCACGCCGCGAGGCCGCCCTTGCGCCACCTCATGTCCGCACCTGCGGGGCGCAGGCTGCTCTGTGCGCCCGCCGTCTGCCATGGCGGGCCTCCAGCGTCTTGCAGCAGATCAAGTGAGGGGCGTGCTTCAAGGAGTGTGCCTCGGAGGCGTCAGACCCTGGAGGGTTCCTTGCCTGATGAGGGCGGCGGTGCTATCCTTGGTCAAGCCTCAGTTGGTATTCCACCAGCTTCCATACCAAGGGTTCCTTATCCGATGCCCTCACCGTAAGGGGGGCGTCACTTTCGGTGTCCAGTGGCAGTTGTTGTTGAGCTCTGGGGCAGATCGAACGGAACTGCTGAGACGAGAGGCTGGTACCTAGGGATGAGGTCGCGGAGGTCCTCATTGAATGAAACAAGGCGTCGCAGGTCTGGGAAGAATCTGGCTGGAGCTGGTGTTGTTGTAAGTCGTGGGCCAGGGGCCCAGTTTGTTGACTCCAGGTGCGAGCCCCGGGAGGGGCATCTCAATTGAAAATCGCATTTCACCAGAGGGGGCGGGATGGATCAACAACATGTTTGTTTTGGATCGAGCACTCAACAGCAACAACAACAATCATTTTATGACTGTTCGCTCTTATCTGCTCGCGTGCCATTCAACACGTATTATCCCAAACCCTCGGCTCCCGCCCTCTTAGTCTTCGTTCGTGCCCAGCTTGGTGGATATCTTCCCTACTTGCCGCGTGTAGTTGGCGCGATCCCTAAAACAGGGGAAGGAGGGGAAGAGTGAAGAGACTAGAGGGAGGGAGAAGGATCGAGCACGAGAGAGATTGGCAAGAGGAGGGTTAGGAGCAGGATCGCAACGGCAGG